CCCTGAGAGTCCCGGGGGTGCTCTCCCCGTGCTGAGGACACCGTCCCCTGCCCACTGCGCACGGGGAGCTGGGTGGCTGACGGCCCCTCCGCACCGCCCTGTCCTCGGCTGCTCCAGCCCTGCTGCGTCCAGGCTCGGCGCTGGGTCTGGGGCGCGTGGGTAGCGCTGTCCTCTCTCAGCCCCACGTCATTCTCCTCACCTGTTGACATGCTCCACGGTGTCTGGCAGGTGCTCCGAGGGTGCAGAAGCGTTTTGAAAAAGCACGTGGGAGGGAGGAGCCTGTGGGGCTCGGCCCACCTCCCAGGGTCCGTGCTACGGGGCCTCTGCACTTCCGTGAGGAGCCTCAGGGCTCCCGGTCGGGGGGCCATTTCCTGCACACGTGGCAGAGACGTGTCATGACGTGTGCTCCACCCGCTTCTCACTGCGGGGGCTTGGTCTCCTACCACAGTGTCCCACGGCTGCTTCCAGTGGGGGGTGGCCAAGCGTGCAGGGGGCCCAGCCACCCCACCCCTCGCCTGCCTGCTTCTGTTGCTCTGTGTTGTCCTGTTGGTGAACCCAGCTGGCCCCCCCCATGGTTGTGCCCGTGGGCCATAGGACCGTCCACCTGTCCTATGGGCTGGAGGGCTCCTGAGCACCCACTGCCTTAAAGCTGGAGGTGGAGAAGGGAGACCAGGGCCATGGGGGCCTTGAAGGGGCCGAGGAAGGTGGGAGGCTGACAGCAGGCTGGGGCACCAGCATCCTGCCCAAATGTGCACCTGGACCAGGCCACTGGCCCTGCCAACCCTGCGCCGCCCTGCAGGCCACCTGCCCTCCCCCGCCTTCCCCTGTGCCTTCTCCACCCTCTCTCCGTGGCCCCTTGTAGAACTCACGCTCTCCTGCTCTTCTCTGTTGAAGACCTTGTTTCATTTTATTTAAATCAGGATCTCTCTTGGGCCACATCCAGGTATGTGTTCCGGGGCTGAGCGGGCAGGCACACGTGTGTGTCGATGCCATGCACACATGCAAGTGTGTGAGCTCGGCCTGCCATGTGTACGCACGCACCTTATCACGCCAACTCTCACTGGGCTACCATCAGAGCCACAGTGGGCCCCCTTAGGCAGAAAGGGCCACACACCCCTCAGCACAGGTGCAGCACTGCAGGCCTGGGGTGCCACGCCCACCCTCCGCAGCGGGACCCGGGCACCTGCATGTCCTCGAAGCACTGGGTGCACGGGCTGCGCCACACGTGCCCGGAAGTGTGTTTGGAGCACTGATTCCTCCCAGCTGATGCCCAGGAGCAGTGGTTGTTTGAAGGCTGGAGGAGGCCTGTCTGGGCCAGAGGCTGGTGGGGACCTGGGCCTGGAGGAGGCAGGGCAGGGCACGCCGCCCCGCGAGTGTGGCTCTTTGAGGTGGGGACTAGAGCAGGGGCCGTGTGGGCGTGGTCCCCCTTGGTGTTTGCCCCTGGGTGTCCAGCAAGAGCAAAGCCACGAGGGGCGTCAGTGGAGCAGTTGAGAGCCAAGATCTTGCTCAGGACCTGCATCCCTGACAGGAACCTTCTGGGGGGTTCCAGACTGAGAGCAGGGCAATTGGATTCCAAGTCCCTTTCCAATCCCTTTGGGGTGACATTTTATACATCCAGAAGGTGCCCTGGCCGATGGTGAATAAGGTTGTCACCCACGGGAGCCAATGGGAACTTCCTTACGGAGTTGCTAAGAACGTTACCAGCCCGGGTCCCTTTGCCCAGAAGGGCTGCACCGCCTCCCACCTGCTCCCTTTGCTACCCAGTGCACTGTAACACCCATGCCAGGTGAGGGCAAGACATCCTGCCCACGCGCCGTCAGGAAGGGGTGTTCCCTGCGCTCAGATGTGGGCACAGAGCACAGAGGCACTCCAGGGCCCGAGGGCACCCCAGGCTGGCTGGGCCTCCATGGGGCTGGTAGCCCCCCTCTCTTTTCAGAAAACCTAGGAGGGTAAGAGCAGAGACTAGCGCTGAGGTGACCCCAGTGATTTTATTATAAAGAAAAACAAGACTTGCACTTGGTGGCTATAGCCCCTGCCTCGGAGGCCGTGAGCACCTGTCACAGGGACCTGTCCCATTTTGCCCGATTGGAGGCCAGAACCAGGGAGAGTGTCCCCTGTCCTGCCCAAGGGACCCAGGGTAAAACCAGGAGGGACTCCCAGGCAGCGCTGACCCACTGGGCCAGGAGGCTGCCCACCCCACACCCTTTGCCGCCCACCCCGGGCTGGCTCCCTTGCCATCACACCACACTCTCTTCCAGCCGCTCGGCACTGCCCCCCATGCCCCGGCACCCGGCCCCGAGCAGCCCCCCGTGCACAGAGTGGCTCCGTCGGGCCCAGGCCCCTCCGAGGCGCCTGGCATACCCGTAGCACCCACCCGTGTCTCCCAGGTCCAGGGAGCAGCTGCGCTGGGGGCGAGGCGGGGGGCTCCGTGGTGGGTGCGTCTTGGGTGTGGGGCTGGGGCCCCCGTTGGTCTGGGATTGGACGTGGCTGAGCTTGAGTGGGAGGCGGCCATTCCCGGCCCCCCGGCCCCGAACCAGCAAGGCCACAGTGAAGACCAGTAAGGCAGCCACCAGCACCCCCCCGACAGCCACAGTCAGGGTCCCGCCCAGCACATGGGCCTGCAGGGCGTGGCACAGGGGCATGGCTGGCAGCGTGGAAAAGTGGGCACAGCCCAGCAGCCTAGTGGCTGTGAGGTCGGAAGGCCCAGCAGCAGGTGACAGGGCCAGCAGACAGAGGTCATAGTCGGCACCCGGGACCAGG